GAAAAAAGGGGGGGGGGGGGGGGGGGGGACAAAAAATACTTTTTCTCCAAATTTTTCTGGTTTTTTTTCTGGGCCTTCACATCTGTACTCCTGATAGTGTCTCTTTGCTCCTTTATGACAGCCCTCCACTGTTTCTTTAATTAGACCACCTTTATTTATACATGGAGTTATACACAGGGAGAGGTGCACTGATGTATTAATCCTATCCTATCAGCACCAATAAAAGCAAAATTGACATTATTGGCAATTGGCTTTTTTTGGCCGATGTGACCAACAATGTCACCGATAAACGTCACATGCATGCAGTCACAGCATACACATGGCCAGGAATGCAGCCCAGCAGCTTGGAGACCAGTGACTGGCCAATAAATCTGTGGCAGGGGCAGGGGTTGCACCAAACTTTGGGGTGGCTGTAGCCTACCACATTGCCCTCCCTCCTCCCCTTGCCTCCCTAGGGGTGCATGCAGCATTAAGAGAGGCCCCATCATAGAGGCCTCAGTCTACCCCCCTCAGCCCCCCCCACCAACACACACAGACTCACCGGCTGGATGCTGCATAATTGGCAATCGGATTGGCATTGGCCAATATGGTTGATTAATAATCAGCCATTGGTATAGGCCAAAAAAAAAATCTTCATCAGTGCACCCCTATATACAGGTCATTGTTTTATCTTCTACTTAGCTCAGACTGTGTCTGCTGCTTTCCCAAACCTCATGCCCAGAAGTCTAAGATCTTTCCCACTGTACACTTGTTCTAATAAAAGATTTCACCAAAAAATATCCTTGCTTCTCTGTAATACCTAAACATATGTCAGATGATGTGAATCCTATGAAAGAGATGACCAAGAACTACCTCCAAGAAGGCTTGGGTCAATTACAGCTACACAAGTAGCTGCTGGAATATTCCTGTGGTGTTAACTTCACAAACTATTTAATGCATTAAAAAAAATGCATATTTATAACCTAAATACATTATCTGCTAGATGAACTATAACCTACAAACATGTCAATAGCTAATGTATATTCTACAAAAATATATTTACAAGTATAATTAAACAAAAAACTCCAATAAAGACCCAGGAAGCATTCCGAGTTATTGTGGTGAGGCTTTAAATTTTGACCTACGTATTACATATTGTTTTCAAAATGATATGGTACAATATTACCGCTTTAATAAAAGCTCAACAAGTTATTGTTTTCCGACAATATTTTACATGCCCCCACCTAACATATGCAGATTTAATTTTTTTGATGCAATCTACAGGCTGTGAATAAAATTGTAGTAGTAAAGCAGTAAATCAAGTCAATAAGTTACTTACCTTTCTTTTGACAACAAAATGTAAGTTCCAGTTTGCAAAGTAATTCCGCATTTTCATATCTGTCCTCCTCCGTTTTTAGCCAGAAACAGCTCTCAGTCATTTCATGTGGCCTAATCTGCAATCAAGATATCAACTTTATTGTAATTACTAAGTAGTATAAATAAGCTCTCGTAACTTGAATAGTTAAACCTATAGGATGAATGTTGTTACCAGGGCTGTCCCTAGGGGGGGCCCCCCGCACAGGCCAATTTTCCCTGGGTCCCACACCCTGCTCAGGCCATCTCTGGTTGTTACAACTCCAAAAATTTCAGATTTCAAAAGTATATTGCACTTAAGATATACATACCTAATGTAGGAAATACAGAATAGTGTACAAGAGCTATTACTCCTTTAAAAAGAACTATTACCAATACTTTGCAAAATGTATAAAACTTAATTTACATATCATCAACTCCTGCTTAGAGCATGTTTAACAAAGTGCTTAAGACAAGTCCCTGTAGCATGCCACAAAGCCACTACGTGTGGCACAAGAGCCATGGGTTCTGAGTAAAGAGAGGCACTGGACGAGGGGGTAAAAAGTACCCTGTTCAAATATGCTGATAACACTAAGATGTGGGGGGACGTGGGCACACTAGAAGGAAGCAACAGGCTACAATCTGACCTGGACAGGTTACAAGGGTGGGCGGATGAGAATAGGATGGGTTTCAACACAGACAAGTGCAAGGTGATGCACCTGGGGAGAAACAACCGGCACCATACCTACAGGTTGGGGAACTCCCCTCTTGTCAGCACGGAGGCGGAAAAGGATCTTGGAGTCATCATTGACTCCAAGATGAACATGGGTCGGCAGTGTGGGGAGGCAGTTAGGAAGGCCAACCGTACCTTGTCATGCATCCACAGATGCATTTCAAGCAGGTCAAAAGAGGTGATCCTCCCCCTCTATGCGGCACTGGTCAGGCCGCAGTTGGAGTACTGCGTCCAGTTCTGGGCGCCGCACTTCAAGAGGGATGTGGACAGCATGGAGAGGGTCCAGAGGAGGGCCACTCGCATGATCAGGGGACAGCAGGGCAGGCCCTATGAGGAGAGGCTACGGGACCTGAACCTGTTCAGCCTCCACAAGAGAAGGCTGAGGGGGGATCTTGTGGCCTGTTATAAACTGGTCAGGGGGGATCAGCAGGCACTGGGGGAGTCCCTGTTCCCCCGAGCACTGCCAGGAGTGACCAGGAATAACGGTCACAAGCTGGCAGAGGGTAGGTTTAGGTTAGACATCAGGAGGCGCTATTTCACGGTCAGGGCGGCTAGGGTCTGGAACCAACTTCCAAGAGAGGTGGTGCAGGCTCCTACCCTGGGGGTTTTTAAGAGGAGGTTAGATGAACACCTTGCTGGGGTCGTTTGACCCCAGTACTCTTTCCTGCCATGGCAGGGGGTCGGAGTAGATGATCTGCTAAGGTCCCTTCCGACCCTAGAAACTATGAAACTATGGAATGAAAGCAGCAGGGCTTGAGACCCTGCACAAGTGAGGCAGAGCATAAGCAGGATGGCTACTGCAAGAGGTGGTGTCAGGTCTCACCATCAAGAGCCAGATTAACCTTTTCTGGCCCTGCAGCTACCACCAAATTCAGAGCCTTAGATCCTCACTTTGATATGAAAGTATGGTTGTGGAGGGACCAGAAAATGGTTAACCTGGATTTTCTAGGCTTATTCAGCAATCCCTCGCCGTCAACGGTGATTGTCTTCAATGAGTGTCCTATTTGTGTGTCTGAAGAGGACTGATAAGGCCTACCCAACATCAACAGACTCTACTGCAGCTCAAACGTGCTTCCATGAGGGTTGGGTGGCACTGGGTTCTTGATCTGGTCTGCGACATGCTGTTTCTGCCACTCCTGCTTTTCCATCTGTTGTTGTTGCTGTTGTTTAAAGATTTCAAATTACTGAGATACCTGCAGCAGACTCTTCCTCCATTTGGGGCAGTCCTGGATGATAGTCTCCCATGAGTTGACATCAATGTGGAATTTTTGTTTTTAAGTTGGTCTTTAGGACATCCCTGAAGCGCTTTCTCTGCCCTCCTTTTGAGTGTATGTCTTGGCTGCGCTGGAAGAATAAACCTTGCGTCAGGAGTCTGGAGTCAGGTATCTGGATGACACAGCCAGCCCAAAGTTGATGTCAGATGATCATCACTAAAATATTCATGGTTAGGAAGATGCTAACAGGGGTGCATTCACCTTCCCACTGCAACACAGGCAGTGTTTATGTTACTTCAACAACTTAAGCTGTCTCCTGTGCACTGTCCATGTCTCAGCTCCATACAGCTCCCATACGTGGGGATCACAACTGCTTGATAAACCATGAGCTCGGTTTCAGATCCAATGTCATGATCTTTGAACATCCATTTCTTCAGGCATCCAAAGGCTGCACTTGCACATTTGAGGCGATGTTGGATTACTTCGTTGGGGTCAACTTTCTGCGACAGGCAGCTTCAAGGTACAGGAAACATTCAACATTTCCAGAGTCTCACCGTGGATCTGAATTATCAGAGCTGGGTACTGTTCATTAGGAGCTTCTTGGTGGAGGACCTTAGTCTTCTGAATGGTAAGCATCACTCCCATTTCCTTGTATGCCTCAGTAACCGTTGCCTGAAAGTCTGCTTCTGAGTGAGCATGCACTAGAGCATCAGCAGCATACTGGAGCTCAATGATTGAGGTTGGGCTGGTCTTGGTTATGACTCAGAATTGGTCAAAGTTAAACAGCGTACCATCCATTTGGTAGTTTGGCTCCACTCCAGCTGGAAGCTTGTTGGTTGTCGGATGTGGCATCATGGCAAGGAATACCAAGAAGAGTGTTGGAGTGATGACACAGCCTTGCTTAACTCCCATTTTAGCCTCAAAGGGTTCTGTGATAGACCCATTACTGAGAACCACCACTCACATGCTGTCATGGAGCAGGCAGAGAATAGTGACAAATTTTGGTGGATATCTGTACTTCAGAACAATCCTCCACAACACACTTCTCAGCTGACAGAGTCAAAAGTTTTCACAAAGTCAAAGGAGGCCATGTAGAGAGCCTTATTCATGTTGTTAGGAGAAATGAGACGAACAAATGGCTCTCAGTAGTAATACCTCCCTGGCAGCAGCATCCTGCCACTACAGTACTCTGTGACACTGGCTGCTCAAGCCTTCCTGTCTCTATTTTGAGGGTACAAACTCTCAGATATGCCTGAGGAATCCAGCTGATTAGAGCAGCACTTGGGGGAGAGAGAGAGAGGGAAGAGCTTAACTTGAGGCAAACCTGCCACTACTGCTATACACATATGTAAATTAAACACAGTATGTTCCTCTTGGCTAGGGGCAGACATTACACATAAACTGGTTTAAGTGATCAGAAACTGGTTTAAACCTGTAACAGAACACACATTCAGAATATCTGTCCTGTTACAAATTGGTTCAACCTAGGCAGGTTAAACTAAGCTGCAAAGGTTGAATCAATTCAGGCTCTGGCTTTTTGAACATCTGTCCCTAACCTTTCAGTCTAGATTTTTCAGCTATACCTTGGATCTGTTATGCAGTTACACATACCTTTTTACTTCCTATCCCCCCTATACATTTATATTTTATCCTTTCTAAAATAAAGGGACTTACAGGCTAAGTATACTTCATCCTACCTTAGTGCACCAGTACATAATAGATATATACATTCAAAGATCTTATCAGCCCACATCCCTATGATTCTATAAATTGTAGTTTTCAGAAGAGAAAACAAGAGTAAAGCATATTAAATATTTTTATAAAATGCCACCAAGTAACAGGATGAAAAGACTGAAAGGAGTAGAAATGCCTATGGGGACAGAAAAGGTAAGAGGTGAGGAGAAAAGAAAAGCTAATGTACAGCTTGAAAAGGAGATTAATACATTATATTTTCATTAATTTGACATTCATTTTTTACAACTCATTCATCCAGCCAAGTCAATTAAATACGATGTCTATTTTTCCACATGAAATATTTACCTTGGACCAATTGAGCCTTTTCATGGTGATCTCAGGTTTGAATTCTTTTTTAGGCTTCAATCCAAAGGGCAAATTATGTGGTGGTGGAGACAAATGCCCTCCAGGAAAGCCCAGTGGAGGAGGGGGAGGAGGGGCAACAAAAGACAGAGGGATTCCTGGGCCATTCAAAATTGGTGGTGGCAGAGGTGGTGGTGGTGGTGGTGGTGGTAACATAGCTCCATTAAAAGGTAGGGGTGGAGGTGGTGGTGGTAACTGATGAGATGATGTAGCAACTGATGGAACAGAGTTGCCTCCTTGTGATGATGGTGAAAAAGGAACAGCTGATCCAGGTGGTAATGAGCCATACTGGGAGGGAAGAAAAACTTGTTCAAATTCATTTTTTCGAACTGAGCACCAGAAAATTCCTATTCACAAAATAATACAACTAGGAAAACATCACTGTAAAAATACTGAAATGTGAATTTTATTCAAACTGACACGGTCTCCCTCTCATAATGAGAACACTTTACATTGCATCATGCCCAGTAAAATTAGCTGGAGATGATTTTTGTTTGTGAGCTTGTATCTACTCCAGGGTATCCATATCTATTTACAGTTCCTAAGAGTTGTTCACACTGCATATTAATGGATTTTTTTTCTAGAATAGCCAATGTTTGTAGCAAATCAAAACCAATGCTGTTAGTTTTGCTGAGCACACCAAAACCAATCTTCAAGCTGTTACTGCAGCTAAGAACTATTCCCAGAAAATCAAGGATGCCCTCCCTTGTAATAGGACTAGCTGTCTCTTTGAGATTTACTTGACACCTACATCACAAAAAAAGTTTTGAAATAATAGTTAAGCTTTCTTTTTAAATAAAAAGGTCACTTTAATGGTTGTATAGATAAGTTTCCAGACCACCAACAAAGCGTAAATCAAATCAGTGCATTATCACCCTATTCTCTTCAGTCACACAGTGCTAATGCTTCTGCTGCTGCTTGCAAATTTGTAAGGGTAAAAAATATATTTAAGTGCATTGGGTGAGAAAAAGTGACTATGTGAAATGCAAAAACACTGACCAGTAGGACAGATGAGAGCAGACAAAAGGCATACATTAAAGATTACTCAGAAATTCAACACTGTTGTAGGAAAGAAAAAAAGGGACTGAACACAATAAGAGAAAAAAAAGGGTTAACACCACAACTACAGTATATAGTGGTCAGTCAAATACAGTTAGACAACACTATTACTGTTAAGCTACACTTTTTTTCTTTTTAATTTATTAAAAACTACCAGTTCAATATATACAAGGCACCAAGGGTGCATGTAGACACAGCCTCTTAGGTATTCATATAAATCTGAGATAAGCCTGTTTCATCATTTTGTTCTAGTTGTTAGTCTTTAAAATACTATATAATAAACAGACTGAAAATAGCATAAACATCAAAAATATAATATTTTAGCTATCATTAGGACCTACTTTGTTGACTAGATGATGAAGTTTCCTGGGTTACTGCCCATTTGTTTAATGTATGAACGAACCGTTTAGCAAAAGGTAAGACAACCCTTTTAAATGCAATTGTTACATAAGTTCCAGCATAACATTAATCATATGTAAATGCTTTATTTCCTTTAAATTGAAGGGGTCACATGTTCTTCACTAACTACCAGGCATCAAATGAATTCATTCGAGTTTTAACATTTTTAGAGAAATAACTATGAAGAAACAGGAAACTCAATAAAATAACAAAAACAGGCTTGACTGTACCCAGAGCCAACCATGGTAAGTAGCAAATTTTGGAGTCTGGGGACCTTTTCAGAACATGTCCTAAATACCCATGTCCTAAAAATGAGTTCAATCACAAAAATTAAATGTTGCAATAAACCAAAACAATTACATTATTCAAAATATAAATCTCTTTCCCAAACTGTTCCATAAAAGTGACCATTATGACCATGGCTGTAGTGTGTAAGCTACATCCATGCACACATACATTCATGAACCCTATTGTGGATGTTAAACTACTTAATCCAATAAAAAACAAAAAGAAAACCCACAAAGAATATGTGGGAGAGAATCTCATCACTATCAAAAGTGAATATTCTGTCAGTTCTGCCAAATTTACATAAAAAGTAGTAGTACTTTAAGGCATAGATACTGAAGTTTTATCACTGAAAAAAGATGAGTATTTATTGAAGAGAAAGGAGTTCGGAGATTTACTTATTCTTTAAGGAGATTATGTGCAGCTCTGTAAGTACTTTGCTCCTTAATACTGCCTACTGACGTTTAGCAAACATGAATTACATATTTTTACAGAACTAAGGCATACAGATGAACCAATTTCTAAAATAAGACTACACAAGCTTAAGATCTATTTGACTGAAGGCATGGTCAAAAATTATTTTATCATCTTCCTTAGTGTATATCTTATTCAAGGATCTCTGCTTCCACACCGTTAGATTCTATTCCTTTCACTACCAGCAGTAATACAGGCAAAAAAACTTTGGTCATACTATCCAAATATAAAACGTGCAGCAGTTGCATGTAAAGTATCGCCTTTAGAATCTGTATTTCTTCCTTTTTTGTCATGTTTTAAAATGTTTACTTTTAGAAATTGAAAAATTATCAGAAAATGTTCTCATTCAGCTGGAAGTTATCTTTCACTGCAGGATACCCATGGTTGCAGCTTCAGCAAAATAAATTGCATAAAGAATAATTTCCTGTAGTTGGATAAGAATCAGTGATGAATGCCAAATCTAAGAGTAGAAGACTTATTACCCTTTGTGGTTAATTACTTAGGAAATGTGTGACACTGAAAGCAAAATCCAAATGAAATGTAAGGAACTAGTTTAATTAACAAAAGCCTAGGCACAAAAAAGATCAACTGGGAACTCATACAACTAATTAATGTCACACTACAATTCTTTTCACACAGACGCACAGAAAAGGAGAGGGAGCAAGAATAATGATCTGATAATCATTTGTTTTTTTAAAAACCTGACAAACTCTACTGATGTCTGGAAGAAGTTTATTTCACTAATAATAGCATATAAGTTCATCTAAAATCATCTTTTACCCGGGACTTAAAAGCTTGTAATGCTGCTTCAAGCTCATTGATTTTTTCTTCTTTTTTCTGCAGCAGGGACTGGGCCTCCTGATGAACTATAAACTCTTTTTCAAACTGTAATAAAAATGAGAACATAGTTGATATTACAAAAAATTACTCGGTTCCTTCATAACATTCTAATATTCACTCGTGTGTTTAATTTCAGCCTTCAACATTATATTTCAGCCTTCAACCTTATATTCTATTAACATTAAAAGCTCAAACTGACAGAAAACTAAAACCAAGCGATTCTTCCTCTACACAGAAATTTTAAATCACAGTAAGCAAGGGTAGGAATCTACAACATAACTAGTGTTCCCCACACCTCTTACGGTGTGGACACACATACATTTAGAACTCTTTCAAAAGGGGAATGTATCAAATGCTATTATAATTTAACTGTTGGGTGTGAAGGAGCCAAAATTATGCAAATATAGCAAAACTGATCCAATGTTAAACCTGGATGAATGAGCAGTGTTTTAGGGACAGCAGTTTTGCTATGTTTTAATTGTTCTCAGCTCATTCACACAACTACCACCTGCTAAAGTGTTCCCCTTTTGAAAGTGCTGCAAACGTACATATATTCACACCTCAGTGTGCATTAAGCATGAAATAGTCTTCCAGTGAAGAAAGGTATCTCATTCTAATAATGTATACAGTTACTGAAGAGCCCACAAAGCACTCTAAGTTTTCACCATAGGTTACAGTGAACTAGCTTCTTTAAGAACTAAGTTCTACCACCAAGAAAAATCTTAGTTCTACCATTAAAAACATTCCATATTGAATTGATCAATATTAAGCATCTGAAGGCTAACTGAACAGTATAACAATTTTTGAGAAAAAAGTTAATATAAATTGTGGTGGCATTTATGCTCAATTTGGAAGCTCAAATTTTGATTTGTGTTTTAATGCACCAATAGTCAGAGTTGTGCTTATTATCACTGAATGAGTAACTACACATCAAGACTACTATTAATCTAAAAAAAACCCATTTTACTGGCATACTACTATGATTAAATTTAGTTGGTTACACCTGTACAACACAGATTTTACATCCTCTTTGAACAAGACACCAAAACCTCTCAGTAAATTGCTTCTTCAATGTTTTAATCTTCAGGCAAAAAAACATAGCTATTGTTAGAACCAAGAAGAAAGAATGAACTATACAAATTTAATCAAACATCTTCCAAGAAGAGTTCCACTAAGTAGTGCCCTACACTTCTGTTAGACTATGTTCACAATGCCTATGTCTAAAATCCATTTTTTATAGTAGTGGTTGTCAACTGGGGGTACACATACCCCTACATGTCCTTGAAAAGGTCATGGGGGTACACAGAACTGATGTGGCTTATAATGTGGCCAATAAACACAGGCAGCCAATAGCACAGCCCAGCAGCACGGAGAGCAGCCAGGTCTGGCTGGTAAGTCTGCTCTGAGGGAAGGGACATGATGAGTGGGCAGATTGAGACCCCAGAGGTGGGGGAGGGAGTAGAGCTGGGGCTGGGGCTGGGGCAGAGGCAGGCACTGCACAGCTCTGCCTCTGCATGGGACTGAGCCACATGCAGAGGGGAGGTGGCTCCCACTGCTGCGTGCACCCTGGGAGGGCATGAGGGTGTGCGCCCCCAGATCTGTGCAAACAGCATGGGCAGGCCAGGGCAGCACCAGACTCTTTCTGGTGGGGGCTGGGCCAGGGCAGGTAGCAGCAGCACAGGGAAGGAGGAGGTTTGAGAGGCTATGGTGAATTTTGGGGTGACTGCAGCCCCTCCCGTAGCTCCCTCCCACCACTGCCCACGCTGAGCGCAACCCAGCTCAACCCCCTGCCAGGAAGAAAATGCACAGCCCCAGCTCCACCCCGCAGCAGCAGCCTGCCCTCACCCCACGCAAATCAGGGTGCACACACCCCCATGCCCTCCTGGGGTGCATGCAGCGGCAGGTGCCGTCCCCCGTCCCCCCAGACGAGCCACTTGCGGCTCAGTCCCGTACTCTGCCCCGGCTGTGCACCGCCTGCCCTAGCCTCCGTCACAGCTCTGCTTCCTCCCTCACCATGGAGGCCCCAATCTGCTCCCCTTCACCACCCCTTAAAAATAAGAAATAAAAGGGGTGCATGAGCTGAAACTCTGAAACAGAAGGGGTACACTTGTTAAAAAAGGTTGAAAACCCGTTTTATAGCAAAGTGGATCTATAGGACACCTATACACGTGCTGGGTGTTCACTGGCTCTCAGAGCCACTCTAATGAAAAGCACTACTCCCCCCCCCACCGCAGAGCATGTGTAAAGATCCCCATAGATTTTAATATGTCCATTAAAAGTGCAAACGTTTGCTTCAAAGTTATCTCTCTAACAAAAGTCTTTGAACCAGAACAATCTTAGTTGAGAGTACTGAAGATGTTAGACCTGTGTAGGACTACATCTAATTGAGCTAAAAAAATTTAGGACTAAAAACTCAGCTGTTCATATGCAACTAATTTTAGCTATAGGGTCCTACTTGGATATATGAAAGATAAAATGCAGCACTCAACCTGCTAATGGACTTGCCTGAAAAGAAACCTATCTATTCTAAAGACATTTCACTCAAATCCCTCACCCACCAGTATCTTAAATAAAAAATAATTGCCTGGGATTAGAGATGTATTGAATACATCAGATCCAAAGAAAAGTATTTTAAGAAAAATCAGTAAACCAGACTTTTAAGCAAGTTTAATTAATTTACATGTTTGACTGTCTAAATGTATAATACTACCAGCTGCTAAATCAATGTAGGAAACATTATGTCCAGACATAAAACCTAGAATTCACCCTGATTATACAAGTACTTACTCAACAAGATTTTCTAAAAAATAAAATGTTTTCAAAAGGTCACTCTGCAAATGCAACACACCAAAACCAGAACTGTTTTGAGAGATACATTAGCAGGACTGGACAATAGAAGTTTAGTTTGGAAAATATGGATACAATTCCAATAATGACAGAATCCTCTGTCTTCCATTCATAACAGTCTACCAAGTCAAAAGTTGACTTTAGCCTGAACTTCTAACTACTGATAACCAGGGATCCTGGTTTTCCCTGATTTAAAAAAAAAAAAAAAAAAACAATTTTCAGGTTAAAAAAATAACCCCAAATCCACGTTTCCATGATTCAAATGAAACACAACTATGAATCCCTCTGTTAGTAGTGTTTCATTTTGATCACAGAAAAATGTGGATTGCAGGTTGCTTCTTTTAATCTAAAAATTAGGTATTCCTTTTTTTTTTTTTTTCTTTTTTTTTTTAGAATCAGAGAAAATCAGGATCTTGGCTGATAAAAAGGGGTCCTGGTTTTTTCTGATAAAAAATAAAATTGCAAATTCTCTCATAAAAACCCCAAAACTCCATGGTTAAAGTGAAAGGCCCCCCTCTCCCTCCTGGTGCCCCTCACTCCCCCCACCACCACAGCCCCCTGCCTCTGCTTATGCCCCAGCCCTGCCACCCACATCCCCCTGCTCCCCCTAGCCCTTCCGGAGGGTGCCCCCAGCTGCCAGGGCTATGGGACCAGGGACCCGGGTCCTCAGTCCCCTGCCCACAACACAACACAACACAACACAACACAACACAACACAACACAACACAACACAACACAACACAACACAACACAGCTGCTGCAGCTTTGCAGAGCCTGGCTCCTCCCACGCTGCCTCTGCAGGTTCACGCAAGGGGTCTGGCTCCCTGTCACTGCATGCTCTCGGGGGCGGGGGGAAGGAGACCTGTGATGCCCACATTTGTGCACGGGGCAAGGGGAGACATGGGCTGCCCGGCCCACTGTGGGTGGGTTCATGGAAGCTGCTTGCTGCTGCAAGCTCCACACTGTTTCGGCAAAACGTCCCTTCTGTGCGTGGCAGCGGTGCAGGATTGTGCCTCTCATGGCCACCATGTGCACAAGGGACACATTGCCAAGGCAGCACAGAGGTTGCAACACCAAGCCACATTCCCACGTGGCCCTGCTGTGCCCTGTAGCACCAGGTAGCATCTGCTGGGCTCCAGAGACCCCAGGGGAGGGCAGCAGAGTGGGAGCCCAAGCCCACAGTGGATAACTCGCCCCCACCCCACTCACAGATCTGGTGGGGCACAGGTCCAACCTACACCCCAGGAGTGTGCACAGCAGTGAGGAGCCAACCCAACCCCAATTCCCCACTCCCTGGACAAGCTACCCGTGGCCCTGTCCAGCTCCCTGCTGAGGCCCTGCAGCTGCGTATTGCAGCTCTGGGTCCCAAGCACTATGGACCCCGCAGCCCCAGCCCCAGCACTGCCCAACTCCATCCCTCCCCTTGGGGGCCTCAATCCCTACCTTCTCCCACCACTTACCTACAGGAACTGCTTTTCAGGGTGCCTTCTGCCTGTGGTCCTCCTCCTGCTCCCTCCCAGCCCCTTGCAGCTTGGAACTGTGCCAGCCTGCAGAAAGCTCTTTTCAAAACTGCAAAATCTATGGGATTCTACTCTAAAATGAGAAATCTGCATTTGGCTCCAGTAAAGGTGGAAATTTGTTTTTCAGTGGGAATTGAAAAACCTGGATCCCTGATGCTAACTTGTGTTCTACAAAACAGACCTGCTGTTTAAAATTTAATACAAAACAAAATCTACTTATTAGAACCAGAAGGCAGCAAGGCTGCTTATACATGTTAAAAAACAAACAAACAAACAAACAAAAAACCCCAAACAACCAACAAAAAAAAACCAGTGCTTTACTTTAAATTCCACACACCTGCACCAAGCCT